GCACTGTCGGAGGGTCAGTGCTGAGGGAGTGCCGCACTGTCGGAGGACCAGTGCTGAGGGAGTGCCGCACTGTCGGAGGACCAGTGCTGAGGGAGTGCCGCACTGTCCTTCAATGGAGCCATTGACCAAGGTGTGGTCTTGACCAGTATCCTATGTATCAAGAATCCTATGGCAATTTTTTGAAGTGATGGAGATTATACTGTCATGGTCCTGACCAATCCATTCCCCTCAGCAGTTATCACTGAAAAGAGACCCTCTTGTTATTATTACATTACTGTTTGCAGGATCGTGCTTTGCTTAAATTGGCTGCTATGTTCTTTACCTCACTACAGTGAATGCACTCCCAGAGTCATTACTCACTGTGATAAACTTTGGCAGTTCTGAATTCCTGGAAGTTGCTATATAAATCTAAGTGTCTCAGTCTGATTCGCATTCTCATGTAGTTAAGTTTATTTCAGAAAGAGTTAACAATTCTTGTGGTCTGGGGTGGGGCTGGGGCTGGGGGCAGACAGACATCAATCTATTCTTGTATGTGAACCGCTCCACAGGTCAACGAACTCTCAGCTCTCTCTCTATGGCACACCATTCACGAGGGAATAGGAGGGACAAACAGCAGAAACTCTCCCATGGAATCATCATCACAATTTCCCTAACCATTAATGTCCCAGAGCGGAAGCTAGACAAATATTCCAAAACCAAAGCGAATGTTAAGTGACACAGCTGCTCCAATCCTGCAGACTCAGCACTCCCTGTCTGTGCTCCTACTCCTCATCTCAATGAGGCAGCTTCAAACTCACTCACTGACACCCTCATGGGCCCCTCACTCCCCTCACGAGGGGTCGTTTGTCTATTGTGGACCCCTCACTTCTCCACTGCGACAACTGAGTCCAACCTTCATTCCACATGACAGCCCCCTGAGAGACAACAGGTCATCAGCGGAAATCTCGCTTCAAACAAATGAGCACAAAAACTAGGCTCACATTCCAGAGCAGGACTGAGGGGGTGACACACTGTCAGAGCGTCAGTGCTGAGGGAGCGCCGCACTGTCGGAGCGTCAGTGCTGAGGGAGCGCCGCACTGTCGGAGCGTCAGTGCTGAGGGAGCGCCGCACTGTCGGAGCGTCAGTGCCGAGGGAGCGCCGCA